GGACCAAGAATAGACCCTTGTGGTACACTTGATGTAACTGCATGGTAATGGCTGAATGGCCACAAAAAACAAAATTTGAAGTCAAGTACATGCACTCTTTCATCCGACAATGAAAACATAAACTTAAAGACGACCAGTTTTTTGTGGCAAGGGAACTTGCCCAATCGGGCAAGCAAGATGAAACGTTTACTTGCCCGTCAATCGTCATGATATTCACTTGCCCTGGGCAAGCGGGCAAGTGTTACGTTACACCTCTGCTTCATGATGTTTCCTCTAAAACCAAATTCGTGAAGTCGTTGTAGAAGGAGGGAATGGCTTACTTTATCAAATACCTTTGACATATCTACGTAAAGTACATCGATTTGCTTACCATGCACTATCTAACTGACGACCGATTTCTTCGAATACTTCAATACGTTGCGTCATGCATGATCGCCCCGGCACAAACCCATGTTGACTTGGGTTAATTTGGAAAACATGATGTTTAATATTGCAGGCCTTGTGATTTCTACAGTGATGTATGATTTTATTACGTATCATTAATAAAATATTGCACTTTGGCAGCTGCTAGAAAGTATAAGTTTCTTGGTATAAGTTTCTAGTTGTCGCAAGAGCGTTTTCTATCTAAGTTGGTAATTCTGAATCCTGTGTCAACTCATCTAAGGGACGGACCATTAGAAAAGTGATGGGGGGGGCAAAACCAAAAAAAAAATTTATTCCCAGAAAAAAATGAAAAAAAAAATCTTTCAAGGCATAGTGCAAAAAAAAAATTCCTTGCTTAGAAGATAGGCCAAGTGGTGTACTGGAGGGAGGGCTCAGGGGAGCTGAGCCCCCTTGTTGAAATTTCATGTTGACTTGGGGGCTGCACGTTGGTCAAATTTAGCAAAATTTCTCCCACTCGTGCGGGTTCGTATTGACAGCGGACATCTTACAGAAAGTGGCCAGTTCTTTGAAAAATGCAAAAGTTTCAATTTTACACCGCAAGTCCACTGACAATATGAGCCTGCGATCCTGGGAGAAAATTTGCTGAATGTGACCAGCGTGCTGAGCCCCCCTATATTATGGCACGTTGCATAATTGATAATCTTAACAACGTGCGAAAACACACACAAAAAAATACCAGTAAACGAGAATGTTCTTTAGAATTGCATCTCATTTTCACTCATCATTTAACACAATGATTTTTGTAATCTTTATATCGCCATTTTTGTAATCTTTATATCATTTAGTACCACTAAATTGTAAATTTCGACATACTAAAACGCTGTTTTCTGACCATCAGAATTCTGTCAAATCTTCCCCAAAGTCCAGGAAATGGCATTTCAGAGACTCTAAATTTAAAAATTTCCTCGGGCCTTCGGCCCTCGCTTCGGCTTGTTTTTAATAAGAATAACGTCAAATGTTTGTCCCAGAATTACTAGAATAAACCCCAACAAAATTTAGAATTTCTAAAATATCTTATTGTACCTCCCCTCCCCTCCCGCCAATTCAGGGCACTTTGGAGAGCCCCCCTTGTTAACATTCCAGGACTACACCACTAATAGGCCTATAAATTTCACTTAAAGGGCCCTACAGTCATTTTTTAGTCGAAAGCCACCTTAAGTAGGGGACTCCACGGAGATTCGTTTGGCTGTATCTTACATGCAGTATCCATGAGTATGAGTACTTTCGCACACAGAAAACGCATGCATACTGTGGTGCGCATGTCAAGTAGCGACAATAACAAAAAATGTAAACAATACTTACTTGACTAAAAAATTACTGTAGGGCCCCTTTAAAAAAAATATATTTCCAACCATCAAGTGAGAAAAAAAATATATTTCTTCTATAGGTGTACAAAAAAAAAATATTGCCTCTTAGAAAATCCCCCCCCCCCCATCACTTTTCTAATGGTCCGTCCCTAACGAGTACTTACTGCCGTCGCCACCCACTTCTCTTACATGTATAATTTAAATGCTTGGTTACAGTTGTTCCATTCCATGCTTACATTTATCAGAACAGTGGCAACTAGCTAGACATGTGAATTATCTGAAAGTTGAGAATTAAGTGGCAAGAAACATAAATAGCTCGTGTTAGCTTGTTAGTACGATCGTACTCTTCCTAATTCGTTCAACCTTCTTTAATTCGTGTCCAGCACATGCGTCATTTCTACATTTATCCAAGACAGTAATACCTTCAGTAGCAGAAACATATAACGGGGAAACTGCAACAACAGGAATAACTTTCACTTCTACAGAAACACTACTGTTGATTGTGTCTATCCCTTTACTAAAATTAAAATAAACACCATGTGAGACTAAATCATGACCATGGGTGTCGAATTTGGGAGTTTAGTGACACGTACATGTGTCTTCCAGCATGTGTCTTCCAGCTCTGTCATCCGGGTTGGATTCCTGCAATATGTAGTTGTTTGATTGAACTTAGCGGCATATGAAACAAGTGCTTCTGGTTTGTCTTCATCAAATACTATACAGGTTGACTCTGCGGTATATGTAAGATTGTACGTTTATGGCAGACCGGTAACAGCAAACGGCAAACTTCAATTCGCATTTGAAGGTAAGTTCTACTACAAGTTTCCGACGGTTTCGACAAAGTTTTAGTCAATTCGTTCTTCAATAGTTAATCCACAAATTGTCATAACATCGAACAGCTAACATTTGATCTCAAAATATGACTTGAAGTTTGCCGTTTGCGGTGGTCTGCCGTAAACCTCAATCTTAACCTCAATATTGGGCCAAGAACTGTAGCATCGAGTGTGCTGTCTTGTGAGGCACCGGATGTAACAGGAGAACAACCTTAAGCAATTCCATAAACAGATTCACGTAGATCATTAACGAAGTATTATAATCATTATCATTAACGCGCTTACCTGGCTATACAATAATAATCGCCAGAGTCAGATTTCGCAGTTTTACGGACAAAAAGTTTTGAAACTTGATCGTTGTTTTCAATCTTTACTCTTGCTGATAAGGACAAAATCATGCTATTATTCCTCCGCTCAAAGCTGGGAAGAGATGGTCCGGTAATAGTACATGTTATCTCCAACGTATCGCCAGCATATCCACTGTACTGTACGTCCATTTGAATACCAGTAAATGCTAAACGTAACAGAAGATGAGCTGAAACTCAGAAAATGTTGGGGGAGAGTAGATAGCTTTAACCGTGGGTTAAATGTTTGGGGAGGGTAGGTGGCTTTTACTCGCCTCGGCGGCTCGTGAGCCACTTTTTTGTTCTTCCCACCTTATGATGTCATACTGTATATGTATAACTGAACAGACAACGGCAAAATCTTATCTATTTGTTAAACACTCCCTCGAGGACGAAGCTGACAATGACTTAAATGTGACTAAAACGTGAGATTATTGAGTTCAAGCTATTGCTTTGTTTGCCCACAAAAGAATTTGCGGAGCGCTTAATACGGAACTCAATATGTGACAATTATTAAAGCTATACAGTCAGTCAGTTGAAACATTTACCTGAACAAGTTAATCCATTTCCAGCAAAACCATTTCTACACTGACAAGTAAAAGAGCCTTCGTTATCACCACAGCTGGCATTGACATGACAAGGGTTGCTAAGACATTCATCAATGTCTAAGAGAAATAACAGTTCAATTACTATAGAACAAAGGTAGGGAAAGTTAGATATATCAACGATCATATCATCATACTCACTAGAACAAACGAATCCATTTCCAGAATACCCAACATTACATTGACAGTCAAATGAACCTTCGTTGTCAGCGCAGCTGGCATTGAGATGACATGGTTTGCTCAAACATTCGTCAATATCTACAAAAAAGAAATAAGAAAAGAATGTTATATGTTGCTTCCAGAAAGGTACAAAATTTTAGACACACGACAGAAAGATTTACATACTAGAACAATCAAATCCATTTCCAGAATACCCAACATTACACTGACAAACAAAAGAACCTTCGTTGTCAGTACAGGTGGCATTGTGATAACAAGGGTTGCTCCAACATTCATCAATGTCTAGGGAAAAACATAGAAATTACAAATAATATGTGGTTAGCAGAAAGGTATAAAATTTCAGACGGATGAAGAAATATTTACTTACTGGAACAATTAAATCCACCTCCAGAAAACCCAACATGACATTGACAGTCAAATGAACCTTGATTGTCGGTACAGCTGGCATTACCATGGCAAGGGTTGCTCAAACATTCATCAATGTCTAGAAAATGACAAATAGTAAACATCAAAAAGTAGTGAAAGTAAAAGGACTATAAATGGAACCAAAAAAGTTGTCCTACGTTAGCATGTGGTCAGTGGCGTAACGGAGGAAGAGGGGGCCCTTAGGCATATTTGGTGTGGGGGCCCCTGTTGTCATTGTTTGACTGAGATATTATATTTATATTTCTGTGTCTATAACAACAACAATAACAGTCTCCAAACACATATTTGTAACATATGTAACAACTAATAATAATAATATTATTTTCATAATAAGAATAACTTTTGTTTTGTTTGAGATGGAATTTATTATTTAACATTATTAATTTTGCATTTTCCCATTGATTCTTAACCTGCATTTTTTACGTTTTCTAATTTTTTTCTAATTTATTTTTTTTCATATTTTTCTAATTTTCTAATTTTTTGGGGCCCTTAGTTTTTTAACTAACCCTACCCAATGAGCGTTACGCCACTGCATGTGGTTGCTTACTTTCACAGAAAGTTCCGTTCCCTTTGAATCCAGTTTTACAACGGCAAATGTATGATCCGTGAGAATCCAAACAGTCTCCATTTACATGACATGAAATACTTAAACATTCATCAATATCTGAAAGAGGAAAATAAAAAAGTGTTGTGAAAGGAAAAACAACTAAAGTGCATGCAGTATTCCATATTGTTTAAAAATACTTACTTGCACAATTTGAAATTCCATCTCCCGAAAACCCATTAATGCACTCACAAACAAATGAACCTTCATTGTCAGTACAGCTGGCACTGACATGGCAAAGGTTCGTCCAACATTCATCAATGTCTACAAAAAATAATATGTATGAAGAAAAATAAGTGATTAGCGGAAAGGTACAAATTTTGGTACACGGATGAAATATCAACTTACTGGAACAATTAAATCCATCTCCAGAAAACCCATTTTTGCACTCACAAAGAAAAGAACCTTCATTGTTAGCACAGTCGGCACTGACATGACATGGACTGGCTAAACATTCATCAATGTCTACAAAAATTAAAAGAAATGAGAAACTATATGTAACTAGCATGACGGCACAAAATTTTAGGCACATAAGTGAAAGATTTACTTACCAGAACAATTAAATCCATTTCCAGAATACCCAACATTACATTGACAGTCATAAGAACCATCATTGTCAGCGCAACTGGCATTACCATGACAGGAGTTGTTCAAACATTCATCGATGTCTGGAAAATGACAAATAGTAAGAAAAAATAAAGGGACTATAAACTAAACTAAAAGAGTTGTTCTACGTTCGCTTGTGGTTTGCTTGCTTTCACAGAAAGTTCCGTTCCCGTTAAATCCAGTTGTAGAACCGTGAGAATCCAAGCAGTCTGCATTTACATGACAAAGTGAAATACTTAAACATGCTGTTTCACACTTACTTGCACAAGTTGAAATTCCATCTCCAGAAAACCCATTATTGCAGTCACAAACAAAAGAACCTTCATTTGTCAGTACAGCTGGCATTGAGATGACAAGGCTTGGTCAAACACTCATTAATGTCTACAAAAGATAATGAAAAAACAAACATTATATAACTAGCAGGAAGGTACAAAATGTTACACACATCTATGAAAGATTCGCCTACCAGAACAATTAAATCCATTTCCAAAATACCCAACATTACACTGACAAACAAAAGAACCTTCGTTGTCAGTGCAGGTGGCATTGTGATGACAAGGGCTGCTCCAACATTCATCAATGTCTAAAAAAAAACATAGCAAGAATGTGGTTAGCAGAAAGGTACAAAATTTCTGACGGATGAAGGAAAGATTTACTTACTGGAACAATTAAATCCACCTCCAGAAAACCCAACATTACATTGACATTTAAATGAACCTTCATTGTCGGTACAGCTGGCATTACCATGGCAAGGGTTGCTCAAACATTCATCAATGTCTAGAAAATGACAAATAGTAAGCATCAAAAAGAAGGAAAGTTAAAGGATAATATCTACAAAAATGTATTATAAAATAGCCTTTTAAAAACACGGGCGCTGCTTGAAAAGCTCAGAAAACCCGTGTTTATTCTATAACTCGATAGAAACACGGAAATTTTCGCGCGAGTTGCGTGGATTGCGCGGGAGTTTAAAGACAAAATGCAAACAATATTCAATACTGAAAAAAAGTTGGAAAACGTCCGAAAATGCCGAAGAACCATCACAAAAAAGGCATCACTTTGCTAACTTAGGAAGCGAAGACCTAAACAGCTTGCTCGACACGGCACAAGCAGCATATGTATAGTTGTATCTGTTAATTACCAAGGTAAGATATTTTAATTTTACTTTGTCTTTTAATTAAAAAATATGTAAGTGCTCGCGTTGCGTGGACACGCGCGCGTGTACAGATCGGAAACGTTCGTACGTTGTCGTGCCCTTTTTGGCGCGAAAGAACACAAAAGAAAAGAACATGTTTAATACGAAAGGACAAGCTTTTTGTATTTTAAGATTTGTAAATTAAGATAAAGGCCGAGTCATCAACGTTGTTTACCCGGCCAAAACCAAGTAACCTAAAGATAAAACATGAATAAAGATTAATGAACATTTACAGTAAACAACGAGACTCACAAACGTGTATATTTCAAGTGTGAATATTTGTGAGTATGACACATTTTATACGGACAAGCCGATATATTTTGTGATTTACAAGAAGATATAAAGAATATAGTATGGCTATGGACCCAGGTGGTCATAAGACGGATGAAGTACGATCGAAAGTCTGCGAAAAAGACTTAGAAGAGAACATCTCGAAGGGAAAGAACAGCGAGCAATTATTCGAAGACGAAGGTAATATTGATAAGTCCATTGTAATCAATACAGAAGACGATACGGGGAGTACTCGAAGCGTAGATGCAGAAGAACAACAGGCACGAATATGCACAAGAAAGGGCGTACAAGTAAACTTAGAAAATGCACGAAAAAAGACGAAAAAGTCAGGTATGGCTGTAGGATCTCGTATAAATCGTATAGATGAATTACTTAGAGAACAGTGTTGTGATATTGTGAAGCTCACTGCTAGTAAAGATGGTCTACAAATGGATATGGATGACTTTAAGCGATTTAATGAAGAGTTATCGGATTTGTTATTATTGTCTTTGAGTGATTATAATTCTAACATTGAGGATCAAGTGTATTTTGAGGGTATTCGTGAGAAGTACTTAGAGTGCTGTGCTGATGTTAAAACTAGAATAGGTGATTTAACACAAGAGAGATTGGAGATGATTTCGCAGAAAACTTCGAACAGTGTTAAAAGTCGAATGTCGAGATTATCAAGGGCTTCATCTGTGTCGTCTAAACAAGCCGCTGCGAATGCTGCAGCATTAAAGGAGAAAATGCTCAGTCTTAAAAGGAAACAAAATATCGAAAGACAGCAAGAAGAGCTTAAACATCATCAAAGAGAACTAGAATG